AAGGATTACTATAAGATTCTAGAAGTTGATTACGACGCAACCGAGGAATTGATCAGATTGAATTATCGGAAGCTTGCGTTGGTTAGTGAGAACTCAAAAACCCTTCTTGAATTATCCATCAAAATGCCGTTATTTCGCTTAGATTGAATTTTAGTGTTTCAAAATTGGAAGAGAAATGATGTTTTTTGTTGAGAATGTTTCTGTGTTTCTATCTACAGAAGTGGCATCCTGATAAGCACAAAGGCGATACTGCAGCTACAGAAAAATTTCAAGAGATTAATGAAGCGTATAACGGTAAGCCTTTTGTGTAGTCAGTTTCTATGGATCAGAACATAAAAAGATAACCCATTTAAGTACTCTAGGTAGTGGCAAGCTTCAGTTAACTGTATTTGCTTGACTTCATTGGTCTACGAAGAATAATTCATGACGGAGAAGAGAAGGAAAGTAGGAAATTAGGGAAAAAGTATAAAATCTAGGAATCAGATAGACATTTTTGGAAGATTAGGACGACATTAAGTTTAGCAATGAGATAACACATTACTAAAGCCTTCAGTTTCATCCATTTGGCTCCTTAAATTTGGTGGTTCTGTTTAAGTGTTGATACAAGTCTATATAGTTTCAATCCTCAGATAACTTTATGTCCCCACTCCATTTCTGCCTCTCTGCGAACTTGTTTCTCTAAGATTTCACAGTTTATTTTATTTGTGGTCATCTTAACTGTAGCTTGAACCATCTTCATCTCTAGATCATATATTGATTGAATTTTTAGTCTGAATTTCTGTTCGAATAAAACCACTGAATAAAACTTATCTTCTATAGATTCTTGAGAAGAGGAGTGGTGCTCTCTCTCTCTAGTCATGTTTTGAATCAAACTGTTTTCTTCATGTGATTTAGCTTCTTATTTACTCTTTGGCAGTGCTGATGGACCCTGCTAAACGTTTTGAGTATGATTTAACCGGTATTTATGAGATCCACAAGTATACTTTACGGGTATGTAACATTTTTTTCGGGATTAAGAAATCAGTTTCTTAGCCATGATATCCTAATGCTTTTTTCTTACACAGGAATATCTCGCCAGATTTAAGGGAATGATACTCACTTGCAATGGCCTTGGCATCAGCCAGTCCTCATCACCATGGTAATAACTTTCTTACTGCACAATCTCAAGCTCTTATATAGCATATCATGAAGCTGTATCTAGTTGTCTTCATCAGTAAAACTTTTTTTTTTATCTCAGGACACATCAATTGTCTGAGACCACCAACAAAACAACAGACTAGCAAGGTTGGTTCATTGTCTTCCATGCAGATACTGTATAAACCAGAAGTTAAGAAGAGAGGTGTAACACTTGTATGTGAAGATTCTCAAATACTTTCCCCGTCTCACCGGCTTTTAACCAAGGTGTGTTTGTGCTGTACAAAACTGGAGCCAATGGCACGAAGGAAGCGTTGAATTATTTATTGAATTGCTTTAGTTAGATGTTGTATTGTTTCTGAATCGATGTAGAATTAGAAAAGCTTGGTTTTCATTCATACATTCACACATTGGTGATGGTTCAGGTCTTG